TTATGGTTCTTGTTGCATTTTTTTAAAGCTATTTCCATATTTTAAATTTTTATCAGTGATGTATTAGTGAAATCACCAGGTTTAAAACTGTCAACTATTTAAAGATTTGTCATTAATTACTTGTAGAAATAAGATTTTGAATAAGAAATAAAGATATTAATGAAAATAATCACATCGTTTTTAATAATTTCATTTTATTAATTCATAACTTTATATATTAGTCTTAATTATTAGTTTTAAATAAATATTTCAGTTCCTTAGTGATTTATATAAGATGTGATTTAATAATAAAAAATATAACTTCATTAATTTTATTACAGAAAAAATAGCATTAATCTGAAAATAGCATTTAAAAGATAAATAAGTCTACGTGATTTAAAACTTTATATAAATAGAAATTTAAAAAAGTTACAATTTAATGGAAACTATATTTCGAAAGTTTATTCATTATAAATTTTAATGGAAAACTATTAATTTCATTCTTTTATTTACTGTAAAAAAAATCAAAATCTGTAAACTAAATAGTTAAAAAAATTGATAAAACAAATGTTTCTCCTTCTTTGTATTTTTATTGTTCTTAAAAAAGGGTGGAAAATCTATCTTATAGTTTCACTTCCTAATTTTTAATCCACAATATTTGAAATCGTAAACCAGAGTAATTGAAAAAAAAAACATTTTAATTTTACAATAAAATACAAAGTTTTTCTCATTTAAAAAATTTTTTATAAATATTTATTATTTATATATTTTGAGTTTTTTAAGGCCTTAAAAACTTGTCATAAAATTCTTTTGCGTTAGTACTTTAAATATTTCCTAAAAACTGGCACAATTGAAATATTAAAAGCTTATTTTTTTATTTTGATTTTTTTATATTCAGATGAACGTAGATTTCAGCATCTGAATAGCCAAGATCTTTAAAACCTATGGTGAAATGTTTTCAGAAATAAGTTCATTATTCATCTTTTTATTTATTACAAAAAATGATGCACATGATCTTTTTTTTTTGTCACTTTTCGAGTAATTGCTTCAAACTAGTTTCCATTTTTCTAGTTTATTTCTGACACTATAAATTAATTGACACACGTAACAAATTCGCATGCTTTTCAATATTGAATTTACCTTATGCCTGATGCATGAATAAAATATACGCGAGGAAAATTTCCTTCCTGTACATTTATTTATTTTAAGATTAACTCTTAAACGTACTGTTTAATATTCTCAAGAAATTAAACATTTATAGTTCTACAGAAAAATCACGTATGTACTTTGGTGTTCAAAAATAGTTTCCGAAGAGCCTGTCATTTTTTTCAAGAACTCCTTAAATGTACACAATTACTTTTATTAAAATAACAATTACGTGATAACTTATTCTTCTTCATAAACCTTTTATAGCATTGAAAGAGAAATATTTAAATTCACTTTATTAATCAAATTATTATCATTAATATTTTTGTGAATAAGTTTTGTTTCTATTATACTCAGGTTCAACTTCAATCATTCCTTCTCTGTAACAAATTATTTTTTAAACTATAAGTCGCGTAATTACGTATGGACTTCGCGAGAAACATGCAACTTACTTTTTCCTTTCTTTTTACATTGCATAAAATAATTTATGCATAAAACAATTTATATAAGCGAGGACATTTCACAAAATTTCATCACGAAATTTAGCGCTTTAATCCTATTATAAGCGGCATGGCAGTTCTACTTACAGGGTTCAATGTTGCATATATGCAGCAAAAATTAGCTTAATATTAAAAAAAAAAAAAAAAAACTTTCTTATGTTTGTTACATTTACAAACAGTTTAATTAAAGTATATACAATAATTATTGTGATTAATTTTGGATCGGTAAGGGTTAAACTTTCTGCTTTAATCTGAAAAAAAATTTCTCCCAAAATTTTCTACGTAATCATTTTGAGACTTAAATTGCTTGTTTTTCATTGTTTTTTCTTCTGCTTCATCGAAGTTTTAATTTTTTAATGAGAACTTCTGCATTCCGTTCCGTAAAATAAAGTCCTAAATTTTAGAATTAATCAAATTTAACTTTAGAATTATGATTTGAATTATTTTTACACAAAGCGACGTTTTATCAGAACATTTTACAAATCAGTTGTTCTTGCAGGAAATTAAGAAGAAAGAGTGATCCCCTTTTTTTTAAACATCAACGAAAAAATTTTCTCGTTGCGTGCAAATTGTTGTTGTAGTTCATTTACGTCACACTAGAGCTGCACAATGGGCTATTGGCGACGGTCTGGGAAACATCCCTGAGGACGATCCGAAGACATGCCATCACAATTTTGATCCTCTGCAGAGGGGATGGCACCCCCGCTTCGGTAGCCCGACGACCTGCATGCGAAGTCGAGCACTTTACGGTTGCACAGTTTAACGAGGACCCGTACCGCACACCCTCGGTCCCTATGCAGACTGATCCAAATTGTCACCCACCAGCACACTGACCGCAGCCAGTCATGCTTGACTTCGGTGATCTGCTGGGAACCGTGTCTTAACGATCAGTCCACTACGGAACCGCTGTGCGCAAATAAAAATGCATGTAAAAAATTAATATGACGGAAAAAGTTCAGGAGAAAATCTCACGTTGTTGAGCGATATTAACATGAAAAAGACGAGGGGAAACTGTGCGTAGTTCAGAATTTGCTCCAATTCTGCAACAAATTCATTAAGATTTGTAGAAAAAATTGGCAATGGTCAATACAATAAGTTATACTGTCGTAACTTTAACTATGACTTTTTGGAATTAAAAAGTGCTTAATGTTAAGGGCATAAAAATTCTACTGCAAATTTTAGGAGTAAAATTCGGTTACATCTTTCGCAAACCCTTTGTGTGAGTTAAAGAGAAAATATTTTGTTACAGGAAGATAAAGTAATTCAAAATTTGATTCTTCAAAGGCCATTAGAAATAGAAACGTCTACATTTTATTATTAAATACTATGACAAAAGAAAATTTTGAAGTAAACTTTATCATACCTAGTATATTTATCGACAAAACGTTTTGATTACGTTACTTTTCATCACACAAGCAGTGACTAATTTCCTTTTTGATGATGCTGCGTTTATATGTTCAAATTTAATTGTATTAATTTTGTACAGTGACAAATGCATTTCTGAAGTAGTAGTAGTAGTTTATTTACGTCGCACTAGAGCTGCATAATGGGCTATTGGCGACGGCCAGGGAAACATCCCGGAGGATGATCTGAAGACATGCCATCGCAATTTCGATCATCTGCAGAGGGGATGACACCCCCGCTTCGGTAGTCCGATGACCTGCACGCGAAATCGGGCACTTTATGGTAGAACAGTTTAACGAGGATCAATACAGCACACCTTCAGTCCCTACGCAGACTAATCCAAGTGGTCACCCACCCGCAGACAGTGATGCTTGACTTCGGTGATCTGCTGGGAACCGTGTCTTAACGATCAGTCCACTGTGGGACTTTCTGAAGTAACAATTGCTTTCCTGATGATGCTTGGTTTTACAAATGCAACATTCCGTATTTGAAAAAGCATTTTTTTTTCTGTTAAAATAAATTGTTGTTATATAGAGAAAAAATAGTAATTATACCACAATTTGCATTTAAATCAAATTATGCTTTCAAGTTTCGGCAGTAAATGGAATATTGTGGTATCTGGACTTTTTCAATAAATGGTAGGTTTTCTTCAATTTAGGCAAAACTTCTTTTTAGATTCTTACTTTAAGAAAACTGTTGCTTAAGTAATTATATCTCTTGTCAATGTAATTGATGCGCTAGTCAATGCAAAAAGTGCTAAATGCTTAAAAACACTTAAAGGGATGCTTCAGAAAATTTCACACCTAAAAGCATCCGTAGGTACAGCAGTAGCCAGTTTGATTCGGCATGTAAACAAAAGAAAATTTTAAGATAACAATACATAATGTTTACTAATTAGAAAAGATTTATATTTAGTTATGGCTCCATTATCTTTTCTAAAACAGTAAATACATTTGAACACTTATCTGTACATTTGCTTTTACATCTTTGGGACAATAGATAGAAAGTATTTTTAAAAAATCCATAGAAATCTATTCACATTGCCATTGAGTCAATAATTGAATTTCCTTTATTCTTACATGACAAAGATAAAATGTATTTCAAAGAAATATTTATGAAAAAATGATTTGGAAAAACTAAATAAAAGTTTTAAAAAAATTCAAACAAATCACTAAGTTAACTAAAAAAAGCATAAGAACAAGATGCAACAAAATTAATTATTTTAAAATCATTCCCAAATAATTTTGAATCATAACATAAATTAAGAATTTTAAAAATAATGGAATTTTAACATAATAATTTAATATTACCCTATTTAAAAGCAAGAGCTCATAATATAAATACCATAGACATAACAATTGCTTAAGGTTATGATGCTATGAAACATATGCTAAGATGCCAACAACTATGGATTTTCTGTAGCATTTCATTTTTATATTTACTGTAATAATGAATCTTATAAATTTCTTTTTAATTCTTGGATCTTTAAATTTAATATGATTTTAACTAATACTAAAAGCAAATAAATCAATCTTATATATAAGAGCAAGTTATAAAAAAGAAAATGAGTGCAAGTCATAACAATTGTGAATAGTTAATTTTATGGACAATTTATGGCATTTCAATTTCTCTTTCACTACCACTAGGTAAATAGTTTCTTGGAAAGAGTAAAAGTTAGCAAGTCTGCACACACAGTCAATTTTAACTTTACTATAACTTTAAATTAAAAACCAAAACAGCAAGGTCACAAAGATGATTGTGGCAATAAATTATATTACAACATTTATATAACTAAATTAATATATGCTTGCTTTTTATGAATCATGAAAAATTTTTTGAAAAGAAATAGAAAGTTTTACCATATCACATGAATCTTGGTATTTTCATACCATGAACTTATATAATTTTATTTTGAAAGATAAACTAGTTCTTTTTTAAATTTTAATATCAGAGAAAAACAACACACTAAAGGAATCAACAAAATTAAATTTTATTAAATATATGAGAAAAAAATAATATAGTACAATTATACATAAATTTACAATTTCCGTATAGATATAAGTTATATTAGAATTTTACACAAATATAGAATGATATATAAGGCAGTCAAAAAAAAAGTTTTGGCATTCCTAAACTGTTTTTAATCCATCACACTTGCATTTCTTTTTCATTTCTTTCACTAGATGAACAATGTGATCTTTAAGGAAGTCAATTCTCTCATTTTTTGCAACTAGTTGCTTCTGAAGCTTTATAATCTTCTCTATTAACATCTCTTTATCTATTCCAGGTAAATCATTATCGATTTTCTATTATAAAAAAAATATTTTTATTATTCAGCAGCTCCTTACAAAAAAAAAAAAATACAAGAATGGAGAAGTGTCAAGCAGTAGGAAAACATTTGTACCTAGGAATATCATTTCAAGAACAGATAAATTTTTTTTATCAAATTTAACTACCCTTCAGTAACAAACAAATATACTTTAAAACAATCACTACAAGATATTTGATAGAAAATCATTGTTAAATATATCATTATAGTAGAGTTTGACTCATTATTTTTTTTTAATTATAATTATTATTAACAAGAAATTAGAAGCAAAAAAAAAATTAGTGTAAGCCCCACTATTTATGCATGTTGTGATATGAAAATAGAATGACAATAACACACTATAAAATGAACTTTCAAAAAATGTAATTTTATCTACTAATCTCCTATCTGTACAAATCTATACATAAAATCTTCAAACTAAATATTTATTTAGAAAATTTTGTTTAATTGGTTGATATGCTCCTACTTGTCATGCTGAAATGTGCTTAACACATTTCCTGGCATTTAAAAACTAATTATTATCTTATTTTATCCCTTTTACAATAAAAAATAATCATTAACATAACTGGTAATCTTTTCTTACAACAACCTTGAATCAAATATGGAATTCCTTTCCTTGGTTAAAATTATTCTAAGGTAACATCTTAGAATAATAAAATAATGACACACTTACAATTGTATTTTTGATAACTTGATGGATGAAGGTGTCCTATAGAGCTTGCCTCTGCAGCCACACCCTCCAAGCCATTTTCAAAATCTATTAGTAGTAATATTTAGATTAAAAATGAAGATTAATTTTACTTTGATTTATTATTTATCAGTTTCTGATTTGTCAGTAAATTAGTTAAGCTTCATCACTTAAAATGAATGGACAAAGGGATAATAATAATTTCCTACAATAATTCATCAACATATTTCTTCAAGCACTGTTTCCCAAGAATAACCAATTTTTCTTCAAGAAATAATAATTTAAACATCTTTAACAACAAAACATTCTTCATACTACTATATTCTTAATTCTTAGGCATAAATAAGTTTATATACTATTTTAAGTATATTTTTATCAGCATTGTTGTGTTACCATTTAATCAATACATCAGTGTAAATTCAGAATGGTTAAAACAGAATTGGAGAATGTGCAATTTGGTCAATTACTTGGCTTTTACAAAAGAAAGTCAAAACTAGCCAAGCCATGGAAGGTAAAGACGCTCTGCTCTTTATGTAATACTAGTCAGATGACCACATGATATCAATTAAAAAATTTCTAGCTATTTATGCTAGTCATAATGTAAATAGGTTAAATAGAACTAGCCTTAAATCTTTAAGCCTTAAATAACTTTAAAGTTAATAAGTTTTTATTACAACATATAAGAAAGTATAACTTGCACATACTTTTTACTGTCATTAAAATAATAAATAATTTTTCTGATCATTTTGTTTGAGTTTCTTTTCTAAATTTGTTATTTGCATTTCATGTATTTTCCTGGACTTCTATACAAAACCATCGGGTACTGAGGGAGTTAATTTAGGCATTTGCTTCTCCCTCAATTAGATATGGTTTTGTTTTTGGCTACCGGGCCGGTACCCCCTGAAAACGTCGGCTTCGGTGGTCATATTTTTATTTCCTTCGTTTCCATTATTGCTACTTTTTTGAAATTTCTGCTGCTTTTTAGCACGTTTTTTTTTCAAAGAAGTTTTATCTATTTAGAATTATAAATATTTGTGTTTTCTTTTAGTACCAATTACTTTAGATGCAGTCCCACCCACCTCAATATGGGCCTGCCTAATCTTCTAACTCCTACTGGCTTAGCAAGAAAGATTTTTTTTGTCGTTCTATTATCATTCATCCTTAAAATATGTCTGGCCTATTTCATACCTTGGACCTTAATATACTTCAGAATGTCTGTTTCTCTGAATAACCCGTAATGTTCAGAGCTAGCTCTCCACCAAAATTTTCTGGTTGATACGAATTCCACATCTGTCTTGCACCAACCACAGTTCTGATGCAAAAGTATCCTCAGTGATCATAGGTTAGAGTCCCCTTGCTGTCAGCTAGCCGTGGGAGGTTCCTTCTTTTTCCTCTTTGCAACGCAAATGTGGGTTAGTTCCATCAAAAAATCCTGCACGAAGGCAATTTCTCATAATACTTGATCCAGGAGTTTCCTTGTCTTCCGGATTGGTTTCAAAATTTCAAGGCTACAGAGTTGAATATTAGTAATCGTAAACCAAGAAAAAAAAATTGGGTCAGCTGTTCAACTATGTTTATAAAAAAATTACCTTTAAATTGACACTGTACATGTATTTGTAAAGGTAGTAAAATATAACATGATTTTTCGTGCCAGTATTTTGAATGTCCGGCAGCATTAAGTTTAGAATAAAAAAAGCAACTTGTTTAGTATTGAATTTATTTAAACTAATAGGCAAATACATCTCCTGCATCTTGCAGAGGGAGGGGGGTTTGAATTATTGTTAGATCAAATAAACTCTTTTGGATATATTTTAAAACTTTCTATCGTTTCATGTGATTTTTCAAATCAAGAAATAAAGAAAAAATGACGCATTTGGAAAAATTAATTCACATATGAAAAAACAAAAAGCATAAATATTTATAAAAATTACTTCATTTGATGAAGGCTTTTCATTTAATGACTGAGATGAAGATGAAGGGTACATTGCACTTGCTTTATGCTCATTAGAGCTCATCACATCTAAGGATGCAGCAGAGCTTGCTCTAGAACCCAAACTACTAGTTTCAGTTCTAATACCATTACGAATGTCTACCCCATCTAACCTTCTTTTACATTCTTGAAGTTCTCTAGAAAGTTCCTAACGTCAAATATATCAACATGAGTAATCATACCAACATATATTAAAATAAACTATCATTCACATACACTACTTAATCCTTAACACAATGCTAGATATCACATGTCAGAAAAATTAAAAATAAAAAAAACTATGATTCTTCAAGCCTGCTTTCGTGAGGCAATGACAACTCCCAGCCTAACAGAGGTGTGTAATAATTAGCTCTTAAAGGCATATGGTTATTCTTTCCAATACAGTAAACTCCCGATTATCCAAGGAATTAAGTTGCCTACCTAGCGAGGATAAGCAAATTCGTGGACAATCTGCAAATCAATTAAAAATAACACACATCAATTTTTTTAATAAAAATTATACAATCTTTTATTATCTATTATTAGCAGTTTTCTTAACATTTTCTTTTTTTACATTTTTTTTTAATTGCTGTATGAAAAAGTCAACTTTAAACTTTTTTTGTTTCTTGGTGCTAGAAAGGCAGGAGACTACAATAAAACAGGCACAAGCAGATTTTTAACTTAGGAGTTCATACACTATTGAAAAAAGAAGGCACAAAACAATGTTCAAAACATGTGAATTAGTTCTTATAAAAAGTCACTGTGTATGCATGATTTTTAGAAACTCTTATCAGTAACAAAGCTAAAACTAAATAATAGAATTCACTAAATTCACAGAATTAACTAAATTCAGAATTGTTGTTGTCACAACAATTCTGAAATCCTGCATATGGCTGCTAAGTTATTCAAACCTCTGATTCATTCTTTTCTTCATTCATTCCAGGGGTATAAACGTATCAGGGGTTGTATGGGACCATACTCATTTGTTAGTTAACTGTTTCAAAACTGATAAGAGTTCCAAGAATGTGTTACATGTTACAAAAATAAATGACTGAGGATAATTCATTCTTATTCATCATATAAAAGCAAGACAGAAAAAACCATGTTTCTTTCCTTGCTATCTATTAATTGAAATTTGAACTTCATTCTGCATTTGTAGTTCATCAGCTGTAAACCCTAATTCACATTATCTTGCTATTTATGAATATCTCTCCATTTTCACCCTTTCAATTCTCATTTTTATTCAGGTATTGCACTTGAAGTTGCAATGTTTAAAAGCAGACACACTATTTGATTAATTGTAAACACCTGGGCTACAAACATGAATGTTTGTTAGTATGTTGTTTTCAAAACTCTTAAATAGTTCCATTTTTATGAATTTATTAATCTTCAATTTTAAAGGCTAAGTTGTTTATTATTGCAAAAAAAAGTCAAGTGCAAATAAATCAACCTTGGAAAATCTGGAGTTTACTGTACTAGGAAAACTGAACTTCTTGATTTCACTAATAGTTTTTATTTAACAAAACTTTTTTAGGCTAGGGCTAACAGATTTCTGCTTTACCTACCTTGTTTACTGCCACTGTGTAAATAGCAGGCTAAGTAAAATTATATTTTTATAGTAATACATATTATTAAGTTTTGAATAGTTTTAATCCCAAAATAATTAAAGACTGATATTTTTCAGACATTAACTTGGGCTTTCATAAGCAAAACTACATCTACTTTATATAAAATTATAACTAATACACTTTTCAATGCAATTTTATCTAATTAGTACAATTAAAACAAGTTTATTATAAAGTTATGAATAATATGCAGATTTTGTAAAGGTTGGTGGTATTGATTATATAACTTAGATTAGAGAAACTGTCTGAAACACAAGAAATTTTTACTAATGTACAGTGTGCGAAAAGGGAAAAATAGGAACCACTCTGAGTAACTCTTGATATAATAATCAGGTCTTCACGTTTTAAGGCACAATTTTAATGGTTCAATGAGTTGACCTCAAATATACTAATTGAATAGTGCAGACGATAATTTACGTTACAAAAGCAGACACAAAAACATATTTTCTCGAAATGAACAGCTTTTTTTCAATGAATTCGGATTTCTAACTCCCAAAATATACGGCAATATAACTGCAATCTGAGAAACATGGTCCCAATAGTTTGGTCAGGAGAGCAATCCAAAGTGTGGACGTTAATTTTATTTTTTGCATATTTCGCCCTATCACAAGAACTTTTTAAGCGAATCAAAAAAACTTGCACACAATTAGGAAATTTGTTCATAAAAACATTATTCCACGCAAAAAATAAATTTTAACAAATATTTATCATTTTATTGAACAATAGTTGAAAATTTTTGAATTGTAAGGTACATAATTTTTTACATCATTTTAAAGTATGCAATCTTACAAGGAAAAATACAAAATTTAAGCAAGTTCAGTTGAATAGTTCCTGAGAAATCGAATTTTAAAGAGGTCATATATTTAAAATTTGATTTCTCGAGAACTATTCTAACAAATTTGTTTAAATTTTGTATTTTACCATGAAAAATTCTAAAATGCCATAAAAATTTTATGCTTTAGAATTCAACATTTTTTTGACTATTATTACATAAATAACAAAAAATAATAAAGATGTACTAAGATTTATTCTTTTTCATGGAACTATCTTTGGATAAACAAATTTTATAATTGTGTGCAAAACTTTTTCAATTTACTTAAAAAGTTCATGATATGTAGTGAAATACGCAAAAAATAACATTAAGGAGTCAAAACTTTGGACTGCTCTCCTGACCAAACTATTGGGACCATATTTTCCAGATTTTGGCTACCCCCTATATTTTGGGAGTTAGAAATCCAAATCCATTGAAAAAAAGGTATGTTTCTGTGTCTGTTATCGTAACTTAATATATCATCTGCACTAATTAATTAGCTTATTTGAGGTCACTCCCTTGAACCATTAAGAATGAGTGCTAGAATGTGAAGGTTAGATCATTAGATCAAAAGTTATACAGAGTGGTCCTCTTTTTTTCTTTTGGTGCACTGTACACCACGTTTTAAAGTTTATTAGAACAATTTTATACAACTTTTGTGAAGAAAATTTTTTAATCAATGTATAAGTATTAGCCACTCATGTTCAAAGCTTAATAGAATTAAATAAATGTAGTCCATTGTGTTGCACTTAATATTTTTTGTGTGTTGATGTAAAGTGTTTTTGTCAATCTGTTAAAAGTGTTCTTGTTAACCGTTAAAAGTGTTCTGTTAACTGTTAAAAGTGCTCTTGTTAACTGTTAAAAGTGTTCTTGTTAACTGTTAAAAGTGTTCCTGTTGTAAAGTGCTCTTGTTAACTGTAACTTACATTAATATAAAGGTTATTCAAATCTAATAATTCAGACTACTTAGCACAATATGTAATATAATATATTAGTCTAAAAAGTTAACAACAGCATAATTCATAAGAGACTTATTGGGAGCAAAAAGTCAAAGATCATTCCTTCTTTATTATTTTTACATCAGTAATAGTGATGTTTTCCTTATTAGTAAATTTATTAACTACAATTCCACAAATTAATTTTTATTTAATTTTGAATAATAAATCAAAGAGCAGTCTTTTAAATAAAATGTGTCAAATCTGATCTTTTTAATATTAGAAACTCTAAGTAGGGAATAGAAATTCATTTGAGTGATTTATTATTAAACTATTACCAATAATTATTTTGAGAATGTGGTTTGAAATAAATTGAATAAAAAAAAACTATTTTGATTACAATTGAAAAACATACATACATAAAACAAAATAAAGATTTTAAAACAAAATTAAAACTGAACACCTGAACGATAAGTAAAGCCCAATAAACAACTTTTTTTAAAACAAATTTCTTGTATTTGTACATTAAAATACAAATTCTACTAAAGTGTAATATCACTAGCTGAAAACTCTGGAAAAAAAAGTTTTTCCTTATAATGCAAAATAAATTAAGCATAGTATTAAATAAATTTTTTTTAAATAAAAACATCAAAAAAATTTATGATTTCAAAGGTTTCTTGAAATACCTTAATACTGGCAAGATGTCGTCGTTTTAGAACTCTATTTTCATTTTCAGATTCATCCAACTTCATACTAAGCTTTTCAACTAAATTTAACACACAAAAAGTAAAATGAAAAATAATGCGATAGTAAAATAAAAAAATTTAAAAAATACAAAAAATAAGAAAAACTAAGAAATTAAATTCAGCATAAAATTTTAAATGTTTCATGAGTTTAAATTTAAATACTTAAATCAGACTTAAAATGTTTATCTGTAACTTTAAATGATCATTGTATTAATAAAATGTACAACAAATACTTGCTTCATAAACAGTTTTTTTTTTCTATCTGTATGGATCATATCTCAATTTAAAAACTTCCATGGGCTTAAATGGCATAATTGTCCTTCTATCTTAAAAGCAGAAAAACTAACTTTTCTTTTATTTGTTACCAAACATTAAATAATAATAATGCAATTGCTCTTTAAACAATCTAATGATTAGCAGAAACTTTGATTGGAAGGTTTTAAATTTGGAAGTCATAGTTAATACAGGTACTTAGAACAATTCAAACAAAAATAAAAAACTCTCATTTAGTTCTACAAGCATTGAACTTCGAAACTTACACAATGAATAATTGCTGTCATTGAAAAAAATATGCATAGATCAAAAATTTAAAAAAAATTTTAATACAGCTGACTCAAAACTCTTTAAAAAACCAAATTTTGTAATATAACACCATTATTTAGCCTATTTCATTTCTTTAGAATTAAGAAATTAAAAAATATAATTTTATAAGGGGAAAAAAAGGAGAACAACTTTATTTGCAATAAAATCACTCTCTTCTCTAAAATTAAATATAGTAAAATACAATCAAGCCTCTTTTACACAAAATCAGTGGAATTATCATAATTATTTCATGTTAACCAAATTTCGTACATCAAGAAATGCGTCATGAAGACAATTTATTATGTATTATTAATACATGTTATGGGGGTTCCGCGTTCGGCTGACCACCTGACCGGAACATATGCTCCTGCACCCCAGAGCCCAAGGTCAAGAAAACTGAGATGGGCACAGTCGGCCTTGGCCCTCTTAATGGGCTGTCGTGCCACTGAGTGTTAGTTAGTTAATACATGTTATGTACTACGTTAACGTATGCAAACAATACTATTATGAGCCAAACAAATTAAAATAAGCAAGCATAAAAGTTTTAATTATTTTATTTTTACTACTTTATTTATTTAACTATCTGCTACTTCTAACAAAGGAAGAAAATAGAAATAGCATTCCTCAAAATGAATGATAAGGATTTTATTCACATGCTTATTATCTGTGCTGTGTCCAGTTTCCTTTCATGTTAAGCGATAATCAGTTTGAAAATTTCCTGTTAAATATGTAAAATACATCAATAATTGATTGCTGACTCACTCACGGTACCAAACATGTGTTTCATGTTATGCGATATTTCACGTTAAGTAGCTTCGCGTTAATGAGGTTCACCTGCTTTTACACTAAAATATTTAGAGTGCATGGATTAATTTATCATTGAGCTACCAAGAAAAATTATGAATCCTGAACACAAAATTGATTTAAAAAATAATAAAACTTATTATTAATCAGAATGTTAATTAATAAGTTGCAAAATAGTATTCCTAAAATAATGCAATTGCAAATAATTTCACACTTGAGATTTTGAATACCTTATTTAATTTAGAAGTATTTTAAAAATGGTAGAAAAGTATTTTATTTAGAGTAAAATAATGAATATATTCATTATTATATTATTCTTGCCATTATTATTCTTAACATGTCTGCAAAATGTTTCTTTTACTTTTTCAAATATAAATCAATGACAATATTATGAATTTTATTAAAGAGCATGTAAAGTAAAATTTAAATATAGTAGTTGTAAACAAAATCTAAGATTATCGTACCATTTTTAATTTTTTCTGCTAGCTTTCGTGCTAATAGCTGGCCTTCTTCCTCATGTTCTTTGTGAACTCTTTCTGCTTCAGATACCTATACAAAACAAGAGAATATAAAATTTTGGAAAAAAGAAATATTAAGGAACATTTATAAAACATACATTTATTTTATTGTTGTATCATTTTTCTGCTGTTATTAATTTTGTAAGTTTATGCTTTTTGAAGACAGCTAAAAACAAAATAATAAGCATCAAATATAGCTTACAGACTGTAAGTATTTTTCTTGATAATCAGCAAGTTGTTGCTTGACTTCAGCTAATTCTTCTTCTAGTGCTTGAGCCTATTCAATAAAGAAAAAGTAATGAAGTATATCAATAGATCAATGATAATAGCACATCTTATAAAGCTAAATGTAAAATTTGAATAATTTACAGTTAATTATCAAACACACAGAAATTTTCCAAGGCCTAATATTCTTCTTGACATAGAAAATATGTATTTTAAAGGGACTTTTCACAAAGAATTATTAACTATTGATCGTATAAATAATAAACACAAAGATAATTATAAACTAATTACACTTTTATAAATAAAAAATATAAAATCTATCTGTTTCAAAGTCTGTCAGGCTTCATCATAGTTTCGGTCAGATAAATGATATGACGCCCAATGCAAAACTTGTAAAGCAAACTATTGCAGTGCATATTGTAATCTTGTTTGCTTGTGTCTAAAATTATAATTGACACTACGATGAGAAGGAAAAAAGAGGTTAGAGCTCTTTAATGGTAATGCACAACTACTACTAATTTATTAATAGAGAAAGAATAAAAATTTTGAATAAGAAAAATTATAAGAAAAATAAGATATATAATTTAATGAAAGACTCATAAGGCAATATTTTCTTAGACAAAGATATTAATAGTAACATAAAATTAAAATTTGTACTTATTTGAAAAATTGAATGAAGAGATTCCATTTTTATGTTTTAAATTCCAAATTATCACCTTAATTTCCAACAAACTATAAGCAGACTGCAGTTTAACATTTGTGTCTGTGACACCTTCAGTAAACTTTAAAAGTTCTCCCTCCTTTACATGGCAAGCATTCATATCAGCTTGTAGTTCAGCATTTGTTGAACGAAGTCTCTCAACTTCTTTCAAGCTTGCATTTGATTTCTCTTTTTCTCTAGAAATTTAAAAACATAAATGTATGAAATTAGAAATAACAAAAAATGAAATATTTTTAACAAAAACTTTTTTGAAATAAAAACATTAAATTAAAAAAAATTTCTCATTTATAAACAATGCCAACTGTCACGAAAAATTTTGGAGTAAGAATAAAAAATAAGCAAATTAGTACCTTTCTAACTGTAGCTGTAAAGTCTCCATTTCAGCCAGATGAGCAGTTAAATCAACAACTTCTTGTTTTAATATATTTTGAGAATCTTTAAGTTTACTTAAATTTTGCTCATACTCCAGTCTCTGTTTTTCTAAATTATGAATCTAAATACAAAATTCCAAGAGTAAGTAATTTAAAACAAAAATTAAGGTAGTTTAAAAATATTGATTGATGTTGTTTGAAGATAACTTTTTTAAGAAGCAGTAGTATTACAAATAACAAATTTTTTCACCAAATAGAAACTAAATACAGCGAAACCTCGGTTAAGCGAACTTTCTTGGGACCGAAAAAATTTTCAGTTTATGAGAGTTTTTCATTTACAGGCAGGGTATCCTAGTTAACAAGTTTAACGCCAAAAACTCTTTTCAGAATACTTTCAAATATATAGAAATAATTAAATAATCTACAATATCCATCTAGAAGGATATTTATTTAAACTTCAAAAAATATTTTTTCTATATACAAAGAATATATGAAAAAGTTTGATATAAATACATAATTCTAGATGTAGCTACAAAAAAAATGAATTTTCCTATTAACACAGATGTTCGAGTTGGTCATATGATACCGAATAGGAGATTTTAGTCCTCAGTCGGTTTCAATTATTAGGTTTACACTTCCTATCACTTGATTACACTACCTATCAATGTATGCCTGTAAGACATGAGGACCTATGGAGTTAGTTATTCACAATTGATCATCCATCAAAAGTCTGAAATAAATGTTTCCTTTATATCAACAACTCAAAGATTATATTTCTGTTCCTTTTTTTACCCCAGCTGTGCTAAATATAGTCTTCAAATTGATAAGAAAATGAAAGAAATTTTCAGAGGGGAAAAAGCATTGAGAGCATTTAAGACTTCATTTTAACTTGAGGGGTCTCATAACTTGCATTATACTGATGAAAAGATCAAAAGATGGTGATGTCGGAATTATTTGACAAGAGCAGTATCATTTTTTCTCTTTTCCTAGCAAATATAAGGCAAGGTGGCAGGAGAAAGATTGATTCCCTAATAGTGAAATAGCTTAACAACATTTATGGTTATGGATAAGGCAAAAAATTTACAGGCTTTAAAAATGGTGAAAAGTTACTTTTTTTTTCTTGCAAGCTAAAGCAGAAAGTTTTTTTTTTTTTCAAATTTAGAAAAAGTAGTGTCCGGCTTAAAGAGATATACAATAACATTTCAGGGCAAATATTACTGTCCGTTTCCGGTTACACGAGTGCCCGCTATGCAGAAAATGTACATAACGGTTTATTCATAAAAAATCCATGGGGAATTAAAAATATGTCCACATTGAGAGGCATCTGTTTAGGAGGAATGTCCATAACAGGAGGTTTCACTGTATCTTTATTATGATATCAATATAGAATGAACAATTAACATACTAGATATAAAAAACTTCTAAATAAAAACAAAAAAATATGATAATTGTTTCTGATGAAAGAAATAACAAAAATGTAGTGCACTAAGCATTTAGAAAGAATCAGCATAAGTTATAAAATTTAATACAAGAAATAAACCAGTCACTCAATCTTCCCTTAATTATAGCTGGTAAAAAATAGATATGCATAACTTGAATATTGCACTCACTTTTAGAGTAAGAGAACTATTTTCTTCCATAGTTGATCTTTGTTTCTTTTTTAAAGCTTCTAATTCTTGTCTCAACAGCTGGTAAACCTAAGTAAAAATATTAGTAAAAATTTAAATTTTTTTTCAAAAAGTTAAACATTGAGAAAAATGTATTATAAGAAAAATTATAGATGACTGAAAAAAATGACAAAACTAATGAGAAAAAGTAGAAATATTCAAGATCAAAATTACAGGTTTTGTAGTCAATGAAAAAGAAGAACAAAAAATCTAATCTTAATGCTATCAATAATAATAAAAATAATCAATTTACAACTTCAAATGCAAAATGCTAAAAACAAATAAATTTTTTTAAAATAATTAATTTAATCTTTCTTTATCGCAAAAATTAATAAGAAAGAGAGATAAAAAGAGAAAATTTAAATATAATGACATACCAAATTAATGTTACCTTCAAATTTATACAGATATTAAAAAAAAATTATTTTAAAAAAATGCTAAACTAACACAAGAACATTTTGTCATGTAGGGATACATGTATACAATTATAAAAAAAAAATTAATTGAAGAAATCAATAGCTCAACTATTTAAGAACATAAATTTTTTAACATTATATTGAAAATCCAAAAATTAACAATAAAATGTTGAATACTGCAGTAGTTCCTAAACTTTTTGTGTCAGAGAACCCTTTAAGACAGAAATCTTTCTTCAGAAACCAAAACCTGCAATACTTATTAACTAAAGTAAATATTTATTATAAAAATAATATCTCGAGTAATTTACTTCAATGATCTTTGATCCACGTGTTTCGAAAACGACAAGCATTTCAGGTGAATAAATTTTTTACCTAATACAAGTTTTTTCAATAACATAAACAAAAAGTGAACCATGAAAGAAAGGTAACTGGTAAGTAAAATGTATGTAAAGGAAAGTATTGGAAAGGCAAAAGGTATTTTAATAAGGAAGGAGGAAAGACAATCATTCAAACTTTGAATCAAATTTACAGAGAGCAAAATTTTGATATAAAAAAAAAAATTTATATGCACAAAAAAACCTTTGCAAAACATTGACACAAAAATTTAAGAAACAAACATTCAAGTAAAAAAATTTTTAAATATGAGATGCGTTACCTGCTCTTGGTCACACTTTTCTTGTTTTTGTACTTCCAACTCAGTTTGCTTTTGTTTAAGTTGGCAATCAAGTTTAACAGATTTTGTTTCTTCTCCTTCCTGATAACATTTTATCATTTCTTGACAATCCCTACGAACTTGCTCAGCTTCTTCCTTCATCTCATTCAATCTTTGAGTTACATGATCTAATTTTGCTTGAGTTTCCTTCAAAATAATTTGGATTAAAAAGTTTAACTATAAGGCAAGGAAAAATATTAATCATTAAACATAACATTCAAAATAGAATACAGAATTGTTCTTAAAAATTATTTCAGTAGCATCACTTTCAAATGAATTAAATTGGAAATTTGCTTAGAAAATATTACTTTTTAACGTTTTCTCAGTTTATTGCACATTTTTAACTTTTTTAAAAAAAAATGTGTTTTTCGTTTTTTTTTTACTAAAAAAAAAAGAAGAAACTTTTTACTAAGTTCAAACTATTTTTTATAATACATTAACATTGAAAAAAAATAATAGTTTAACTGCATGCAATTTTCTAATAGATAAAACAAAAATTAATGCTAAGAATTAAGCTAGTTGGACACAGATATAAAATTATTTTTATCTTCTATATACATTGTGCTCAAGCACAACATGGTATAACTGAACATAAGGAAAATAAATTCATACTAATGTCATTATCATGATGTTGCTATTTTGGGTAATGGCTATGACAATTTTTAAAAATTTATTTCTTTCTTTTTTAATAAAACTTACACCACTTTTATTTTATTATATTTAAGTAAGTTAAACTATCATAATATGTGATCTATTATGTATTGGCGTAATAGCTCAATGATAAATATCACAACATTATTTAAATAATACCATTAGCACTTACACTCAATTAGAAACCTTTGTCTTAAGAAATTGATATTCAAAACTGTTTTCAAAATTTTTAACAAAGAAAAAGAACAAAGAATGTCTCAAGTTTATGAAAGTGTTTATTTAAACACTTTCAGTACCAATCTTGTGCAAACCTGGATTACATAATGAGTAGCAAGTCACTTATTCATGCAGGAAGAGATCTCAACATTTATGCAACCCTTTACATAGTGGAAAAATAACTACAACTTAACACACTTAATCAACACACTTAAACACATAATCATGATTTTAATACTGAAAACTGTTCTTACAATGTTTTGTCATTCTGTTAAACATAGTGTTTTTGAATAGCATATTGCATTTGCCTGCATTTTGTTTTCATAGGCAATGCCTATGAAAAAAATTTCTTACGATTTAGCTACCTTTAGTACATAAAGGATATTTGCAATTTAGGTATTTAGTTGTATTTATTATTCAGTATTTAGTTGATTTAAAGCTTAGTATCTTTATTTTTTTATATTGTTCATTACTTAACACTGTTCAAGCTTGAAATTGTTTACGATGAATATTAAATTCTCCTTTACCAGTTTTAATGACAAGAACTCAAATTTTTTTTTTCCTTAACAGAGAAAAAATATTTGTTCAACACTCTCTTTCATATTCATGTTCAATTAAGTAAGAAAATGTCTTTCTCCGGCCTTTACAGCCTCACTGCTGTCAAGCTAAAAATAAAAATGCATACATAGCTTACACAAAGACTTTACTGATGTCAATGATAACTGTACATGTCAATCAGTTAAGGTAATATAATAGAGAATAACATCATCCAACATAAAATTTTTCCACTTTTTCAAACAGAGATAACAAAATTAAGAATTAAAAACCACCTAATAAAAATCCCGTTCACTGAATAATAGGACATTAATACTAAAAGGCATTTCTATAACATTTGCGATTTTCTGAAATTAGACTTTAGACTTATTAAAAAATTAAGTTCGGTGAATCTACTATAGTATATGTAATTAGTATATAATAACATCTATCTAGAAATAAGGTGATAATAAAAGAATTGTTAAAAACTTTGTCTAACAACTAAAATTCCCTAAACAAACACTAACAATTATAGGAAGACACATAAAAATAATTATGATGCATTCCTTGGGATACAAAATAAAGGTAAGCGGCATTCCCTGGGATGCATAATAAATGTTATGATGCATCAATAAATGTCATGATGCATCCCCTGGGATACATAATATAAGTTATGAATCGTCTCCTGGGATGCACAATTCTACAATGCCAGGTTTTTTTTCACAAAAACTTTGTGCTAGCAAATAAGGTAGTAAGATATGATGGCAAATATAATTAAACCAATCTATAAAAATAAATAAAGAGGAACAAAATTTCTTTTTCATCTAATTAAAAGTCTTTTCCTGATTTGAAATTCTTCATGTTTTTCAATAAACAGAATAAAAATATGCATAAAAGTGCATATTTATAAATGAATAAAGAGGTAGAGAATTTATCCTCTGCTACACATTGCAAATATTTTCTTTTCTTTTAAATATTGGAAATTTTTACTTCCCACCTATCCCTAAGTTTTTTATTTTTCAAAACTTCATTTGCACAGTACCAATTTATTTCCTTTCAATTTCGAATTTGGAATTTTTAATGATTTAGAGTTTTTAAAACTTCAGCCAGTGCTTATTTGAATTCTTGAAAATTTTATTTTTAACATTTATATATAAGAGCTAAATGATTAAAATTGAGAATATTTTACATTTTTATTTTTTACTGAATTAATATTTTATTATTTTTTACAGAGTTTTTTTCAGTCAATATATTTTCTTGTTTTGTTATTCATGTTTATGATAGTTTATTTCATAATGTTGCAGATTAATACAGCCTTCTGCTTCTGGAAAAAAATATAGATGTGAAAGATGAATACTAATTCAAGAAACAGAAAATGTGAAGACAAATTGATTACAGATAAGAGGGCTGTCTCAAAGAAAATGAAGTCAAACTAGATAAGTCAATAAAAGAAAAATTAAAGTAAATCTCCTTATAGAACTGATCAAATAAACAAGCTTACTCAAAATTTAACAGATGAAATAGTTGCTACAATCAAGTTTTTAATTTTCATTCTAAATCTGTTAAAACTCAATTGTAATATTTTTCATTAGAAATAAATACAAACAAAAACTTATTGAAAATAATGTATTATTTTATTATATTTCCTAATGGCAGAGGTGATTGTGGGCCCAACTCAAAAACCCTGAAAATTTCTTGAGTAAAATCATTCAAAAAATTAATATCTTTATAAATTTAAATCATTGAAATTTTCAAAACATGATCTTCTAAATGAATTATATGCAGCATAATTTAAATGAATAGTTATGTGTAAGTTTACTTTTATCTCTAATCACATTTATTATTCTAAGAGAAAAAATATTTACAAATGAAAGAGATGCCAAGTATAAATTCCAATTCTAATATTTTTAAATAAAACATACAAGAATTTTAATATATATATGTGATCGATGATTTCTTGAAACTTCTGGACTTTGGATTTCCGGAAACTTTCGGATCGCACTTAGCGAAAAATCCGGAAATCAGGATTTTTTTCCGGAGCACAATCACCCCTGTAATGGAAACTCAATCATTTCATATAACTTACTCATTTTTAAAATTCTTCTGCATAAGTAACATAATATTTAGCTTTCAGCGATGCTTGTTTTTATATCCTACCTTAGTGAAGTGTTGTTTTAAACTATCTAATCAGCATTATGAATTATTGCATATAATAAAGAATATTGTTTGTCTAATCTTTTGAAAAGGTCATCGAACTTCAATATTTTAAAGAATGCTAGTATTTAAATTTTGGTTATAAGTCATGTTAAAATTATTACTCAAACAATTGGTAATCATACTTTTAGCATAATCATAAAATATTTACTTTTTACGCGCATCTTTTAAGTAGATTTATATCATTTCAAATATGAACTAGCCTTCAGTAAAAAAGGTTTCAAAAATTTGGATGTCTTCCATCTAAGAACCTATTCAGGGGCCTGTCCAGGCCAAATTTACTACCGTTTAGTGGTACCTTCACAAATTCAACTTCAGGAAAAACAGTAATTTCACAAAATAATTTTTCTTAAAATTTTACTTTTGTATCCCCTAAAAAACGATAAATCCATATTTTGTGTTAATTTTTAATGTTTTCTTTTAATTTTCACAAAATAGGTACCTCTCAGAAAAACCTAGACAGACTTTTGCTATTGTTTTAAAAGTCTAGAGAAATCAAGGAATAAAATGGGAAAATATAACTAACTAAACAAGGGAAATGGATCTAGAGTATTTTTTGAAGAAAAAGTCATAAATTTATAGTAATATTAAAATAAACTAGGAAAATATTTAAAAGTAAAAATTACCTGGTGAGAATTCATTTCTGTTTTTAAGTTATTTTGCAGCCATTTTATTCGAATCTCTCGAGCATTAAAATCTGAGTTCAGCTTATCAAAATTCTTTTGTACTTTAGCTATTTCAACCATCTAGAGGAATTTGAAGAAGGAAAAAAAAAGAAATAAAAAACATTGTTGTTATGGCATATAAAATCATTTCATACACATTTGAATTCAATTTCAATTTTAGTGGCTGATTTTGTTCAAAAAATATTTCAAAAAAACTTTATGTTTTAATGTTTCTTACATTTAAACTCATTGGTTTAGATATTAAGAATTGAAAACCTTTGTAAGTATTTTTTGTTAAGGGAATAAAAATTAACTAAGAATTATAAATACAGTGGACTCTGTTTTTAAATTGAATATACATAATACAAATTCGCTACAAGTTTTAGAAAATTTTCAGTTAATCCCAATGTTAAATTTTTGAATTGAGAATTATTAAAAATATACCTAGTTTTTAGAGAAAGATGAATTTATTCCTTTAAATGTTTTTAGTTTTCCCCTTATTCAATATCTGTAATTTTCTATACTCATTTCAAACTATCAGCTGAAACTATCACAATTAATATTTATTCACTAAATTTAAAACAGAAACAAGATACATTACTGAATTTCGACTAAAACAAGATTTAAATTAAAAAAATAATCCGATGTAAATATAAAAACTAAAGAATTATGATTAAATTATTACAGTACAGAACCCATTATCCGGAAATCAGAAAACCGGAACAAAATTCGATAAATTTTCGCGCCATTTTTAAAAAAAAATTTTTTTTTCCTCATTAAGATTTTAGGATTTTTTTTTTCTTTTTTGAAAGATGTTTACCTTACCATCATTTAGAAATAATCATTAGTGTATTCCTTCATCGTTTTTTCTTCTTTTTAAGATTATTTCCAAAAAAACATTTTTTTTTGTTGGGTTTAACAATAAACAAACGGCTTTTTGTAGCGATTCAGAAAACCGGAAAAATCAGTTATCCGGAATAGCGATGGTCCCGATCGTTCCGGAAAATCAGTTCCCTACTGTATAAGGTTACAAAATGATTTGCAAACAATAAAAATAAATATCTTGTGATAATAATTCTTATTTCAATATTAAGTTCATTCAAATAGATATAGTATCAAATAACTGTGTTAAATCTCAATCAGCATCGAACAAATTTCAAAACAGATTAATTAAAACATATTTCAATTAAAAATAAAATAAATATAGCACATACTTTACTTTCATGCAAAGCAGACAACCGATTGTTCTCTGAGTTAAGATGTTTTACTTTAGCCATTAAATTATCCCTCTCTTTAGCCAAATCTTTTAACTTTTTATCCATTTCTTGACGTATCTTTTTCTCTTTGATAACTTCTTTCTCACTATTTGCATAACGGATAACCATTGTTTCTTTATCTTTCCGGAGAGTATTACATTCTTTTGATAGCTAAATGAAAAAATGAAGTGCCTTACTATTTTTAAATAAAAGTCATGAATGCAAAGAATGAAGTTAATAATATATAAAAAATATTTTATAATTTCGAACAAGCTCATTTGGATTAAAAATGGTAAGTATAAGGTCAGATGATATGTCTTTCAACTTTAGTGCACTTTCTTGATGAGAGTATTAAACAAATTTATTCTTTGTTTTGAAAATAAGGAAATCGAAGATGCCATAATATCTGAAAATTGTGGAATAAATCTTGCTAAATATTCGCCATTTCAAGTAGCTGTTTTTAGTTCAGTTTTGTTTCCTGGGCTTCTGAAATTTTGTAAGGCTTTTATCTTGTCTTGATCTGCAGTAAAATATATTGAGCAAAAACAAAGACTGATGCTATGTAGAAAAACAAAATGCAATTTACCGAGACACAAAGTGAAACATAGAGCAGAAAAAAACCAAAAATTAAAAACCTAAGCACATCACAGAAAGATAATCAAAAAATTTTACAAGTGTTACCAAACTGACTAGGAAAAATCTCTTAACTTCTAGTATGGCTACAGATTATTACTTTTAACAAAATATGCTAAAAAAAAATTATTAATGAAATAAAAAGAATACCTTTTCAATACTACTTAAGAAATCTGTCCTTGATTCAGATTCAGCTTTCTTAAATGCTACCTCTTGAGCATATAATGCTTTCCTTAACTGTGCTATTTCATTTTCCATCATAGCATTTCGAGCTTCTAATGCCTTAAATATTTCATTCATAGTATTATCTGGTCTGAAAATCAGAAAACTTGATATTTATTTTTAACTTATATAAATTTTATAACAAAAATGAATTTTTAATAATAAAAAAATAACACACATAGATATGAATAAAATTTAAATATTAAATCATATTTAAATAAATCATAATGAGAATAACATTAATTCAAGGAAAAAATGTTAGAAAAAGACTAGACTAGACATTAATTTGAAGGAAAAAATGTTAGAAAAGACTTATTAGATCCCAAGTTTTTCTTTTCTTTTTTTTTTCTTTTGCAGTTAGAAAAGTCTGTTGGGCAACAATCAATATATAGGTGAAAAGAAAAAGAAAATATTATAGTCGATTTTAGATTCACACTCTACTATTATAAATTATACATGCAATATTGATATTATATTCAATGATTTGAACTACCTCAGAAATTCAGAACTTTTATAACCATAACAACATTATTTCTAATAACTAAATAATTTAATTAATTAAAAAAAAATTCTTGCTTCTTTACGGCAAAATAAAAGAACATTTATATTTATAATTTCTAAAAAAATTTATATTAAAACTATTTGGTAAACATGTTAATTACATCTATAAAATATATTGTTAACAAAAATTTTCTTAATATGTCTTATTTTAGCATTAAGGAAATTCTAAAGTTAGAAGAAGAACAATTTTTTGAGATGATACTAAAAATAGCACAGTTTTGAAATCTTTTTACAATTTTCCATTTTTAACATTTGCTGTTTAACAAAATATGGCATATAGAGCATTTTCCTGACATAGCAATACTTTTTTGAATTGTGCTAAAGCTGAGAAATAATATTAACAACTTTTTAAGCAAATTTTTTCAACATTAACATTAAGGGCAATTTTCATAAAGTTAGCAGGCAAGAGTAACTTGAAACATCAAAATAAAATTGTATGTCCATAATTTTTTGTTCATTTAAAAAACAAAGCAAACTATTGTTTTTATTATTTTTTTTTGCTGTACACACATACGCATTAAGTTTTCATCAACCAAATATGTAAGAAACAATAAAAATAGTCGACAGTCAATAAATTATCTTCATTTTTCAACAAATAAAAAATAAATATGCTTTATAAATAGTCAGCTGTTCTGCATCGAATAATTTTAATCAGTAGAATATTTTTATTTTCTTAACAAGATTTGATTCTCAGTTGGCAATAATTCTTAATTTTCTTTTAATAAAAATTTGACAATAATTTAAAAAGGAATTTCACTTTAAAGGAAAACATAAATTAAAATACTAAAACAATTGATTAGAACACTCCATAACAAATAAATCGATGCACCAAGAAGGAGTTGTCCGATTGAAACAAAAATTGGTGGATAGGAAGACAATGTACAGAATAGTAAATGATTAAAATTTCAGAACAATTGAATAATTTATTGCAGAGTTACAGTAACAAGTTCAATAAGGTGTTGACCCGCCTCTAGCCTGGATACAAGCTGCAACACGGCGTGGCATAGACCGATAAAGCTCTCGGATGGTCTCTTGCGGTATTTCCTGCCAAATAAGATCCAATTGACGAACGAGGTCATCAACATTCCGTGCCAGATGCAATCGCCTTCCCATCATATCCCAGACATGCTCGATGGGAGAGAGATCTGGTGATCTATCAGGCCAAGGAAGAGTTTGACAAGCTTGCAGACAGTTCATAGCAACACGTGCCGTATGTGGTCTGGCATTGTCCTGCTGAAAAACCAGCCCAGGGAGCTGCAAAAGAAACGGTAGCAAAACAGGTCTTAGGATGTCGTCGACGTACCGCTGTGCAGTAAGTGTACCTCTAATGACGACCAAAGGGGTCCGGCTGTCAAAGGAAATGGCACCCCAGACCATAATGCCTTGTTGAGGGCCGGTGTGGCGTGCAATAGTGAAGGCAGGATCCCCCCTCTGCCCTGTGCGTCTCCAAACACGTCTTCGATGATCGTCAGGACACAGTTGGAAGCGGGATTCGTCGCTAAAGACTATACGTCCCCAGTCGGCATCATTCCAGCCATATCTGTTCAAAACATTCATGCATACAAAATTTCAAAGCAATCGGATGATTGCTTCGTGGTGTGTCAATCTTTTTGTTATAGAGTGTATATTAATGGAAGAAGAATATACATGGTAGCGTAAAAAATAAGATTTTGAGAAATTTTAAAATTTAATTAAATAGTTGGTAAAATAATTTTGCGAAACATGCGCGGACTGGTAATTAATAAATTTATTTTAAGATGCTTAAAAATGTTGACTATGCATTCGTATTCATAATTATAAAATATATCTTGAAAAAAATTGATAAACATATTATTCCAAATCTATGCATACGTTTGAAATTGTATCAATTATTGAAAGAACAAACTAAAAAAAAATTAATAAAAGCTGATGCAAAAAATTTATAAAAGCTGACATTCTATCAGAAACATGATTTTATAAAACTAAACATTTGTTGAATAAAATGCGTTTATTCAAATCTCCTAATTAAATTACAAATAGATTTTTAGACGACTGAAAAGAAACATTATATTTTATACTTTGAAAGAAGTAAAAAAGAATTAGCAATCGGTAATTAGCGAAAAAAATATTAATCAAATTTTACTCTATGCGTGCTTATGTCAAGTTCCTTGTAAGTTAACCACATTTAAATATTTCTTCATCCTCGCCAAATTATTTTTTTAAAAACAATTCATTTTAATTTTTCTCGGCTTCTACCCAATAAAAACTGTTGAAACTTCAGATTTCGCAATAGAAAAATACTTAGATTAATATGGTATGAAAGATTTTATTTCAAAATTTTTTCACCCACAGTTAAATTTAATAATAAAAAAATAATAAATAATTATTACAAATTATTTTTTACATGAAATTATATTTGGGTTAATGGGTTTTATAAGTGAGTGCAATTTTTTTTAATTCCTTAATTAGTTTTAAAAATATGATAAAAAATGCAAAAAGTGAAATTAACATTAAGGGGTCCAAACTTTGGATAGCTCTCCTGAAGAAACTATGAGGACCATATTTCCCAGATTGCGGCTACACCCTATGTTTTGAAAGTTAAGAATCAAAATAGGTAAAAAAATATATGTAATATTCAGAGAAATATATATGTATTATTCAGAGAAAGTACGTTCTGTGTCCAATTTTGCAACTTAATTAATAGTAAGCACTAAATAATTTGCATATTTGAGGTCACCCCCAAGAACCATTAAGATTGACACTTAGTATGTGAAAATTCCATCACTACAACGAAAGTTATTCAGGATGATATCTTTTTTTTTTTGCCCACTGTACCAAGCACAGAGGTATATTTAAATTGGGGATAAATGTAACAGTCCAAAATTTATTAGCAGAAACTTCAAGAAAATATAGCTATTTCTAGCACTCAAATACAGCTTCAATAACAGTGTAGTACAGTAAAACAAGAGCTTCACAATCTCAGAAAGGTCAATGATATAACTCAGGTCAAAACACTACTAAGATTACAACTTTCAAGCAGATTACAACTCTGACAAGGCACAAACCTATTTATATAGGCTTGGCAATGAAACATTGCAACTTTCTGCATGATTCCAGACGATTCTCATATAACCTCGAAAATATTTGTTGTATCGCTTTGAAACGCAAAGCTTTCAGCATTATAATTTCGTTGCCAACATGATCGCAAAGTTGGTAAATCGAGTCTCCAAAATAATAATAACAATAATACATTAGACATTATTTCCTCTCAAAATTTGTTAAAAATTACACAACTTTTCCGTTAATTTTCTAATTGGGTATAATATAGCCTACGTCACAGGTTGTGTTGTTCCTACTAAATTTAACCCATGAACGGCATTTTCTGCGAGCCTAACTTCAAGCCACAAATAAACAAACAAAGTGTTCGATCGTTTAAATAGCTGCCCGCTAGATTTTATTGCACTATAAAGAAAAGTTATTGAAACTAAATACAACTAAATAAACAACAACAACTAAAACAAATAACAACAACTACTAATAACAATAACTAAATAAACAACAACTAAATTCCATTCGTGTTTTTTTCATATTATACCCAATTAAACTATTTATTTAGGCATTCATCTGAGACAGTCTGAGACATTCAGCGTCATAACCAAAGTATATTCACAAACTTAGACACATATTTACAAATTCATAGCAGTATGAATATTTAAACTGACTCATAAATAATATGATATACAGATTTCAAAATTCTCCATAAAACTAAAAAATAAATATTTTTTTTTAAAACAAAATAAAATTTGAAGAAACAAACTTTCTAGCACTATATTTTAATTTGTTTAAATTTGAACTATTCTTATAAAACTTCTTGCTAAGCAATTGTATAGGTCCTTTTTGGTTTCTTATCAATTCACACAGCCTATTTGGCTTGATTTCTTTTGATCATTCTATAAAATTTAAATATTTTTTACTTGAAAAATAATAAATATACTACCTTGCATATTTCATGCTATTTTGTAATAAACTTTCAATAATTTCTTTTTTTTAAATTAAGAAATTATTAATTTTAAATATTTGTTAATTGAAAAATATATTGCCTTTAATATCTCATGCTCATTTATTCTAAAACTGCAAAAAACTAATTTTAAAAAATTAAAACAGATTTACCTTATAATAATTCATTGAAATTACTGCTAGAAAATGTGTATACTGCTAAATAATAAATATAAATAAGGCTGAAATACCACATTTTTATATATACTGCCAATCAAGGTAAAAAACTAACTTTTACATACATGCACTTTTAAAATAACATTTAGATTATTAAATATTGAATGATAGTAAGTGGAGCTGTGAAGTAAAAAATAAGCATATTCAAAATCTTTATTATATTTTTTTTCATCATGTTTGCATATTTATGGAACAAAAGAATATATTTTGATCTAGTTAAAAAAGATTTATGAAAAATACTTTTTAATGACTTAGTTACTGAATTTGAGAGGAAAACATTATTAAACCTTTTGTTTTAAAAAAAACCTGGTTCAAACAAAAAAAAAATTTATTATTTTTTTAAAAAAACTTTTTTTTTTCAAAAAAAAAAAGTTTCTTACCATGGAAAACATTATGAAAAAAGCTATACTTTTATTTCCAGTTACATAATTTAGCTAGTATGCTGACAGAAAAAAAAAAAAAAAACAGCAATAAATATATTTTAAAGTTAGTAGGACTTTAATAATAAATTTTTTAAAAAAAAAACAGAATTACTACTCTAAATATGTTTAAAATAACATTTTGATACATTTTATATTACAATAACATTTTGATTCGCGAAAATCTGCGACCAATGGTCGTGAGATACTCTGATTTCCATGAAATATTCGCGAAAAAAATCACATAGGGTGACCTGGGGTAATTCCTGATCAAAAAATGCAAACATCTATTTTGTGAAAAAACTATTCAAGATAGAATTTTAATATTTACTGGAAGTTTGAGGCTATATGAGATGAGTCCTATGCTACCTTCTTTTGTTTGAAAATCTAATTAGAATTTAAAAGATTTTAAATTTTTAGTGATCAGGAATTACCCCTTCTCTTGATCATTTCTGGGGTAATTCCTGATCATTTCTGGGGTAATTACTGATTACCAGTTTTTATAGTAAATAGGCTGTTTAAAAATAATTATACAATGGTAATTAACAAATAAGACATTAAGATCAAACAAATAAACCAAAAAGATATTTTTAAGCAGCTATTAAAACGTTTTATTTAAAAGCAGGAATAAAGATTAACACTTCAGCTCTGGCAGCAGCTCTCACACTGAAATTTTCATTTTCAATCATTAAAAGAAATTCACTATTTTTGCTTTCTAGAAGCTTAGTATCCTTTTTAAGCTTATAATTTCTCACCATATTTATATTAGGTTAATTTATCAACTTAAAAATTATTCTAACAATGTACACACATAAATTTAAGATAGAAGCAAGGTAAGACAAGCTAGAAATGGTGCATATCAGAACACATTTTTCTTGTATACAGTTAAAAACAAATTTTGTGATTATAGTTAAAATATATTTTATAGTTGTTCCACTTAATAAATATGAACTGTTATTTAAGAAAAGACAATTGACTATTTATTAGCTATTTTTTATACTATTTATAAGAAGAAATGACAATGATCAGGAATTACCCCAGTGATTAATAATTACCCCATCTGTAGGGGGCAACATTTGATATAGTTTCCTATAATCAATTATAATGTTTACAGTAGATGTGAAATAATTAAGCAAAAGCCTACACTATTTTTATATCAAAGAAAAAGAAAGTAACTCAAAATATTTATTATTAAGAGAAGGAGGGGGATCTTTGCAGAAATGTGCACATTTTGAAACCCATCTTTGAAATGGAAAATACAGAAAGCATTTTAAAAGATACTTATTTTGTTAGATTAAACAAAAAACTGTTATTAAGTAAAAGTAGTTATACTTTAGTAAAGTGAACAAGCATTCTTGTCCATGTCTCAAATTTAAAAAAAATATTATTTTTTTAAATAAAACTCAGGTGATCATTATTTACCCCAGAAACAAGAGTGATCGTGAATTACCCCGGGTCACCCTGCCCTTTTGTTTTTTAGACCAGATAGAGTGATAAGAGAAACCTGGAATTCTGGGGTAAAACAAGAATACAATCATTTGTGGTTAATAAAATTTTTTTTATATTATTATTATTTTCAAAACAAACAAGAAAAAACAAAATGCAGGAAAAGACAAACCAGGAAAATTTGTTAAAATATATATGATATTCATTCCATCATTCCATTTAGATAAATTTAAAGATAAAACTTATCTTTCAAAATAATTTATTCCTCGATATGTTTATTTTTGCTTTCCTGTTGATATTGATTTTGTAAAGATAACACTAGTATTAAGAATAGCAATAAAAATATGGGGAAAAACAGATATAATAGCCGGAAAATAAAGAAAATCAGATGATAATTTCTTTGTAGTAGAAAACACCATCTATACTTTAAAAAGTAAGTAAAGTATTATAATCAAAAAACAAAAATTCAAAAAAACTAAAAATTAAAATATGATTTTAACTTACATTTTTGCTATCTCAACACTGCATTCTTGTTTTCTACTATCATCAGACGAAACACTATCAATACTTAAGTTATCAGTGTTCGTTTCTATCATGGAATCATTACTAGATACACAGGATTCAACATCACAAGTAATAGGTTCTTTTGTACTATTAAGACTATTCTCTGGAACATTAGATAATTTGTCTTTAATTATTTCATCTTCAGTTACATGATCACTTAATGGTCGCCTATTTGGTGATGTTTCATTGGAAGATGGATTACTTTCCCCTGAAGTCACAAAATCATTATTTGTGTGATCAATTGTTCCATTTTCATTCATATCACAACAATCATTATTTGATGATACAATATGAGATGTTTGCTCCATAGGTACAGAACCATTTGAACAATTGTCAATCTTACAAGAATGATTCGAATCACTTTCACTATTTTGAATATTTGACATGTTTCTGAGCAATGAAATTGAGGACAATTAATCTATACACCAAATTGATAAAAATATTAGAAGAGAGATCTTGAAAATATCACAAATTTTAAGAAATATAAATGCTTTTCTTAGAAATAATACTAAATATGAATAATATATCTCAATGCATTTGACTAGATGCACACATAATTTGGCAACTTTCAGTTCTTTACTTGGGATACCTAAAAATATTAAAATATATATATAAATATAGATAAAATAAATATAGAAAAATAAAGACATAACAATACTTAATGGTGTAAAATTAAAAAAAAGTTTCTAAAATCAATAATTAAAGTAAAACAATATCATGTACAACATAGGATAGAAAATGTAATTGTTAGATAAAATAAGACTATTTACACTCAAGAAAGATTTAACCTAAAATAGAACATTCACAAAAACAAAAACTATATATAAACTATATATATATATATATATATTCTCTCCAAAAGTACTTAAAATAAGGATTAATTTTCAGAAAAGTATTTTTTTTTAAAAAGTTATTACTGAGATACAATTTTAATTTTAAATAGAGAACACTACTTTTTTTAAAAACTCATGACTGATATTGCCAATTAGATAACTAACATTGCCAATTAGATAAAGTTATCTATTTGACAGTCATTTGTGCAATTGCAATAATCAACTAATAAAACTGCATTGATAATTTTAAAAAAATGTAACATTAATGCAGTTAACTAACTCTTAACAGTTTTTTCTTTACTAAATATGAAAATTTTTAAAACTATTATTAAATAAAAAAAATATCAATATTGAAATTGCGGGAGAATATCAAATCGAGCCAGATGAACTGATTTATGAATACTACAGATTTAATTTAAATTTTAATTATTATTGTAACATATAAGGAAGAATTCCTAAACACTTGATGCAGTAGTGCTATAAATTATAACGATAAAATGAGTTCGTAGGATAAGAATATAAATGTTGTTCATACTCTAAATAATTTTAAAACAGACAACGTTTCAAAATATGATTTGTTACTATCTATGAATAAAAAGGCAAAAAAGAAATCATTTATAGGTTACTTTTAAAGCATCATATGTTCGAATAACAGTTACGTGCAACAAGTATTTACAGCTTGATTGGTACGAGAAATATCAAGTTATCTTCATAGAGCAACAAAATATATGAAACATGATTGAGTTATGTGTTTGAAAAATAAGCGCTTTTAAGAATTATGAGTATACACAAGTTATATACAACGAAAACAAGAAGTAAATATTAGTAGACATAGGTGCCAAGTTGTAAGGCACCTTATTTGTTTTCTTGAAACGTTTCTGGCTGCCTATTTCTAGTACGCTTGAGAAACAGGTCAACAAATAAGTGCTAGTTTTAAATCCAAGTTTAGACATTGCAAATTGGGTCACAATCGCCAAGGCGCTAAGCAGATTTTGAATTTGCAACTTATTTAAAAAAAGAAAACATCTGGAGTATTTCCCGGGGGTTGGTGCGAGTTATACTCTTCGAGTTGTTCCTCTTCTTTAATGCTTTGGGTTCTCCCTAGCCGAAAAGTATTCCTCGCCAAATGCTCTGCAATGTGGAGGTAGCAGGTTCAAATCCCGCCGTAACCCTGGATGCATTTCCGTAAAGTCCTTTTCTAAAGTGTACGCTCTGTCTTTCTTTCTACTTGACAAAGGCTTATAATCCTTACTTATGTAATTCAGCACGAAATTGCCAAGACTTAGCTATTATTCTTCTGCACATCACGATTTTCGATCGAAATGGGCTTGTGGGGGGCGGAGTTATCGACAATGCCAACCTTCATCTATCGAAAGGTACCTCAAGTTTGAATCAAGTTGGCATGTCTTATATACCAGTGAATTGATGTTTAATAATTGTAGTGGTTGTTACGCCACAATACTCCACCACCAGAATTTTATCAGGGATAGAATTCGATGAACGGATACCACTAGTTGCTGAACTTTTGAAAGACCGGGAGAGCTGGATTAAGGTCACCGGGTTTGTTTTTTTAGCGCTGAGTGTGAGAGGCGCATTAACTTCAAGGTAGTAGTCGCTCCTGTGTTGCCTTTAGCAGTCGAGTGTATGCAGACTGACGTTGTGTATGATCGAGACGAGACTGAGCAGTAACAGCGCGAGGGGGTGGATAATGTTGCAGTCACAAGTAGCAAGTCAACTGTTCAATGTGAAACATCCATCGAAGTAGGCGTTACTATGAAGATAAGCGCGTGTTCGCATCACGTCCGTAAGTCACCAATGTGGGGGCGGAGTTATCGAGAATGCCGACCTTCATCTATTAAAAGGTACCTCAAGATTGAATCAAGTTAGCATGTCTTATATACCAGTGAATTGATGCTTAATAATTGTAGTGGTAGTTACGCCACAGGCTACTGGTAGCTTAGAGCAGAACTCTCTACCTATGGTGACATTTCGCATGCTTTCACCATTTGTGCGTGGAGAGTCACAGGAAGTACGATCTGTATGGGTGCGATGTGTATGGGTGTTATTTTTTAAAACTTCAATGAAATAAATTTGAGGCTAAACACAAATTTTTTTATTTATGTATTATGTTTTAAAAATCTATGAAAAAAAAAAAAAACTTCATTCCATTTTAAATTTAAAATTGTTTTTCAAATCAGCTCAATGGGACAGAAAGGTTTTTTTATTTTTTGCATAATTGAAAAAAAGTTTTAAATATTGAAAATGAATTCTTGTTTCGATAAAATGTGTACTTCACGAAATATTTAACAGTTCGAAATTTTAAACTTTAGCCCCTCACTCTGGCCAGTAAAAGTCATGAACAGAAAAACAAGGAGATTTGAAAATTATCAATCTACTAAATTTATAGGTAAGTTAACAACAATCTGAATCTGCATCTAAAACATTTCAATAACCCTTTATTATTAGTAATTCAGCCAGAAGAATCGTAAAATTTAAGTTTATAGAAATTCTTGATGATTTATAAAATTAAAGAGAGAACTTTTACAAAGATTCTGATGATTAAAAATCGAGTTTATTTAATAAAGCATAAAAATCAACAAAAAATGATTTTTAATCTTTAATACAATTTTCATAACAAATTTTGATTAAAAAGTTGCTATGATCCAAAAATTTGAAAACATTGATTATCAGTCTATGAGTTAGATTTTAAAGAAGACAATTTGTTATTTACCTAAACATCGAGAGCAGTAATTACCATGCTTAATGCACCTTCGAGTTGCAACTACAACTTTCAATTAAACCTAATATGATGTTTATTCCATCAAACTTCCTCTATATAAGATTTTTCTTCCCAGCTTAAATATTAATTTGCAACTCCCAATTTGTATACTTTTTTTTGTCTTCAGTTATGATAAAAATTAAAGGTGGTCTTTACGAAGCATCTTGCATATTTTTTGTAAGTGTCAGGCAAGGTTAGATGCTTGAAATTTTTGATATTCTTTAAATTTTCAGGATACTTTTTTAATGTAAAATTATTGGAGATGTGTTTTTTTATTTTTGCGATAAAAATGTTTCCTGAAATTTTATATATTTATTTTTTGAAGGGGAGGGGTCAAAACTGAAGATCCTTTGAAATTCTGGAAAAAAAGACAAAAAAACTCATCAATTTACAAGTAGCACAATTTTTTTTTCTTAACAAGTAATTACGACACTGATAGTTATTTTACTTTGATCGAAGGTCAAAGGTCATTCAAAAATCTTCGAAAAAAGGTTATTTTCTTGGACTTTCATCGTCAGAATCTACTACTACCTACTGTTAATCATAAATGTATATATTTCAGTGAATACATACTATAACACTCTACCTAACAAAATTAATTCATATATGGTGTATATTTAGCGTGATCTTAAAATTGACCTAAAAGTAGCAAGAAACGGACATTCTGTAGTTTTCAAGGTCATGAACTTCTTTTGCCAAATTTAAAGTCTGAAATTGGCTGGAAAAGAAACCTTAAGTATAACAGAAACAAAATCAATTCACAGACCTATGGTTACTGATTCAACTTTTTAATAATATGGTCCTAAAGTTTGAGACCCATACCTGAGTAACTGAATACAGAAATAGTTATGGGAATGCTTTAAATTGTTTTAAAAAATGTGATTTAGGCCCAATAGGAATATTTGAAGTTTCTAGGTGAACTGCAGTCTCAATCTAGAACTTACTAAGGGGAGAAATACTTTGCTATCAGATAAGTGACATATCCTTTCGATGTATTTCCTTAAGCTAAATCGAATAAAACTTCATTTTCGTTGATACAACAGTAAATCAAAATTTCTAAATGTTTTTATGGATAAAAAATAGTACAGTACATTGCTGTGCAGACAAACAAAGTTTTAGACACTATGGATTTTCTAGGATGAATCAAATGAGATAAAACCATGTCAAATGAAATCAAAACCAATTTATTATTAACAGTTTCAGAAAATTTTTATACTTTCATTTAAACATATTAGCTGTTTTGAAATAACTTCATTTACTTGCCTCAGACCAAAGCTTGTAATTAAGATAGTAAATAAGAATGCGTTATTAGTTGTAGTTGTGTTTATCATATATACATTTGTTCCTTTTTCATTTTTGTCTTGTTTACATCTAATTTGTGTTGAATTTGATGAGCCAGGCTCAAGGGTGGTGACGTATTGTTTCCGATGTACTTTTTTAAGATGATTTGAATGCACTTTTCTTTTAAATAACACCCTTGCTGCCTATGTCTTGGCCCATTAGTTAAGAAGCGTGCAGAGTCGATGCATTAGAAGATTTGGATAACTTGTCCTCATAACTTTTTTTAGAATCACCCTAAAGAATTTTCATGAATTTTTTTCATTTCTTATTTTCTATGACCAATTATGAGAAAAATGCTTCCTTTGCCGCCTTTATTTTTCAGCTTATTATTTTACTTTTTTTAATTTGGAGATATCTAGAAGGAATTAATTTAGGTCTTAGTGATTTCTCCTTAAAATAATTAAGGGTATATTTTCTAATATAATTAACTCACATTTTAAGTTCCGAATTCTTTTTTCACTTTATTATTTGCGTGAAATTATTTCATTAATTGATATTGACCATGCATTGAAAGTGAATTTAAAGGTCACTCTTGGGAAAAAATTAATATATCATTATAGAAATAAGTAATGCAACAAATTTGGGCCAACAGTCTTTTGCCCCACTCTATTTTTCATAAGCAGATCAATGTTATGGACGCTTCTTTATAAATGACACTAAAAGAATTCGCCCTTTAGAAAATAGATCCATAAATTAAGTGACTTTCATTTATAGTTACCTTGAAGGCTATACTAAACTTATATTGTTGACACAGACATCGTAATTTGTAGAGTAATAAAAATCACCACGTTCCTGTATATAGACACCGCAGTGATATATAATATATCAATTGAAGCCGCAGTGAAAAAGGTAAAATCAGTAATTGTCAAAAAAGTCTCATGGATAAATCTCATGGATGGCTATTTTTTTAATAAATTAAAAATTTTGAAATAAAAAAGCTATTTAAAATAAAAAAGAATAAAATTTTTACCAAATTCAATTTTTTAGCATTAAAAAAATTACACAAATCCTATTTTTTCTGAAAATTACTTAACATAACCATTTGCTACAGTTTTGCACCCATTGCATAATATTTGACAAAATTTTAATGAAAATAATTTAAATGTCTAAAATAACTGAGACCGAGCTTAAAGTGTTGTGAACTAGACGAGAAAAAACAATTCAAATCATGAATTTATTCAATTTGATTAAATTTTTAAATTGAAAAAATTTTAACATTTCGGATTTGTAAATTTTCATTCGAATACTATATATTGCATAATGTAAGAATTGTAATATGGCTTTTAATGATACAAACTTGTAAATTTGAAATTTACATATTTTGATTCGTCCAGAGCCGTTCGTCCCTAAAATTAATCTTAATGACTTAAATCTCTTGTGAGTCACAGTTTGTTCTTTGTAAAAACGATTTCCTTAATTAAAAAAAATAAAGTTATAGTCGTAAAATTTAGTATGCAGACAACATTTTTATTTTAAATTGTATTTAAACTTCTAGTAAGCGATTACTGTTTCAGAGAAAGTTGGAAAAAAAAGACAAAAAGAACGTTTTCTCTCACCTGTTTTTGATCTTTTATTTGCAAAATGCATGTGTTAGTTTTTATTTCTACTTAATTTATGCATAGTGCTCTATTTCTCAAGAATAAATTACCGTAAGTCATTAGAGGAATTCATCTCCTTATTTTCTGTTTTATTCCATATTTATTTATTGCGCTAAAATGAAACTTATGAAAAAAGTAACATTGAAATATATCCAATTCTTTCGGCCATTT